AAATACCTTTTAAGTACCACATACCAAAATTTCATGATTGCACTCCAAAGAATACTGAAGTTACAATTTTTTTATTGTTAAGTATAATTAAATTAATTAAAATTTATTATAAAAATTGTAATAAATCATGATATCTTTATCCAGGAAGAAAATAATTGGGATCAAAGTCTATATCCTCACAATAACCTTTGTCTATAATGCCAAAATAGGCAACCAGATACTTAACACAGTTCATGTGAGTACAAATATGAACGAAAATTGCGGCTCTCATGAAATCTCAAGATATCTTCCAAATACAGATATAAAGAAAGTTTAAAACCACTGCAATAGCTACAATTTACATATACATCAAGAATTACAAGCTATACTCATGGATACAACAATGCTAAACACACACAAACACATAGCTAGGCTACTTGCTGGGACCTTTAATACCTTAGAAAAATTTTCCCTTTTCTCCTAGAGCAATGAAACTTTTGCAGAATAACAGGCATATATAATACTAATAAGCTACCTTGTAAGTGTGATTGCATTCACTCTATTTTACAAGTTATAGAATTTAGTATGATTTTTGTGTCAGCCATTTTAAATCCTTACAGTGGAAACAAGCACCTGAAACACGAACAGTTCTTGATTATAAATGTAGAAGATCAGTTAGCTACATCTTTATCCAATGCTAAAGGTGCAGAGAACAGCAAAGTAACTGTAAACTTCTTAGTTTTGGCATAAACAATCAAAATAGGCAAGTGGCACTACCACACTAAAAGTCAGTCATTTTGAGAAAAACGTCACTTCCGGTCAGAAATAAGAAATCAGGCTTGGCTGCCCGACTGCATTTATCAAACCAGATCAACTCCAGCAGCATGGAGCATGCAGCTGCAGACGCCAGACTAGATTATCAAAGCAGCCACACCCCCTCAAAATTCATGGATAATTATAACAATAAAGCATGTACTGCAGTTAATAAAGTAAAATACATGTACATGTACAGTTATCGTTCATTGTGATGAAATGAAAGGTATTTTAGTGTTTATTCTTTAAAGTTTCTTGAAGCTAGTAATATATCAACATCATCAAGTGATAATACTTCAGGTATAGCATCAGGAGAACTCTGTGAAAATAATACATTATAATGCTCCCTTGATCTACATCCACATTAATTTACTTTTATTATTTTCTCAAATAAAGTGTCTCCAATCATAACTTGTACCAATTCTCTAACTGATATCAGCTCATTCATTAGTGCCTGTAAAGATAACATAGGATAAATAAGAAAATTAATAATAATAATGGACTAAGAATCACAAATACAATGTCCCATAATGTGTGCATAGTAAAAATGATATAAAAGATGTACATGTACACCATTACCTGTAGAGCAGCACAGCTCTGTCTCTGACTGTTAGAGTAGCTAGTATTACTGAGGGCATACAACAACTGATGGACCACATTAACCTACAGATCATGATCATTAATATAATATACATGTACATGTACATTTAATGTAGCACTGTATGTTAAACCTTTATAATATACAATTACTATTGACTGACCTCCACCAGTTTCTGTGCTAAGTGAGGGTGTCTCTCTATTATCTCCCTGTCATGTGACATTAAAATGAGATCATGTGATGCTAACTATTACTTTATTATTTTTGCAGAACTTTCCTGCTGGACCTGAGCAGTGACAATACCTTGGAAAGTGTATAATTATTATTAATATTCAATTAATATTCATACTTCTTCCAGCCCCTCCTCCTTTAGATGTGACGTCTTCAACCTTCAATAGATTAACCAGTCCCATTAGCAATGGTTGCTGTATATCCTCATCCTCCAATAGATCATTAATGAGTAGACCAGCTAGTGTGATACATAATGAAGTAAAGGGAGTGAGAAATAGAGTAGAGTTTATCTATTTATTTATTTATTTATTTCATACATTACCTTCACGTTGTATATCAAGGTGTAAGCTCCTCAGTAACATTAGCAATGGGTCAACAATGGAAATACTGACGTCACCAATGGAAGGCTAAAAATTAGAATCCTTGTACCTGTACAGTAGAGTAGAGTATCATTAACCTGTATTAGTCTCAGAGTGTAGGCTGAGAGTCGCTGAGCTTCAGAGGATGAAGAGGCCAGTAAAGCAATCAGTGCTTTATACACTTGTGTCTGGTACCTGGGATTAGCCTAAACAATAACAACAACAACAACAATAACAATAACAACAACAAGAACAACAATAACAATACTAACAATGATAAACTAGGCAATACATGAGCTACATACAGTATACATGTACAATGTACATCCTCCAGTGATACAGGGTTGCCACAAAGCATGTTAAGAAATAAGAGCTACAACAGTGCATGCATGGCTTTTGGAGCAACTTTAAAAATTCATTAAAAATCTAATTTTAATCGGAATCAGCTTAAACTTTCTACACAACATAAGAACATGTATATGTATTAGAAAAAATTATAAAAATGGAAAATTTTCTCTTTATGATTTTTGATAAAATCCCCTGTACTATATAGTACAGGAGATTTGTCAAATTTTATAATAATTCTTATTTGTAAGTCGCTTACCATTGATAGCTCATGGAGGAGGTGCTGAGCACACTCTTGAGTTTCTGATAGTTGAGACCGTCCAAGACATTCGGCAACAACTTTGATACCTAAAAATAAATAATAATAACAAAAATAATAAATAATAATAACAACAATAATAAACAATAATAATAACAACAATAATAATAACAACAATAATAAATATATTTGATCTCTTTCTCTCCCCTCCCTCTCTCCCTCTCTCTCTCTCACCATAGCTTTCACATATCATTTCTTTAAAGTGTCTTCCTTTCTTTGATATTTGAG